AACCCTCAACACCTAATCCATCCTAAGCCATCCCAAACCCTAAACCCCTAAACCCTAAACCCTAAACCCTAAACCCTAAACCCTAAACCCTAAACCCTAAACCCTAAACCCTAAACCCCAAGCCCTAAACTCCGAACTCCCTCCCTGCCCAACTCAACACGCGTGAAAACCGAGCCACCTCCAGCGCCCTGGTCAGCGATTGCCAGGGGCAGCCCGCCTTGGTGTGTGAAAAAAGCTTCGCTGGCTCCTCAATGCGCAGCTTCGGATGGTGCTTTGAGAAAGCATGCACCCGGAATTAACCCTAAACCCTAAACCCTAAACCCTAAACCCACCCGGTTCTTCCGAAGCTGAAGACAGAATGACACGGAAGCCGAAGGTGCCGGAGAGGGCCTGCAGGCAGACACCAACAAGACGAGAGAAACACAAAGGGGCCCCACTACTATAGGGGCCTAAATAATTACCTACATTTTGGGTGGTTCCTTTTAGTAATTATGGCATAATATATCCCAAAACCCTATTCTAATATTATAAGTATAGTATAAGGGGGCCCCAAAGCCCTATTCTAATTATCAAGGCCCCTACATGACTCGATGCACTCCCGGCCACTGGGGCCGTGTCGCGCACCTCGCGCAGAAAGGCATTGGAGATCCAGCGCTTCAGCAGGTCGAAGGCGACCTGGGAAGCAGGAGCCTCAAAGTCGTCCCTCTCTCTCTCTCTCTATATATATATATATAATATTTTCTACATATTATATATACATATAATATTCTACATATATATATATATATACACATACATATATATATATATAGATGAAGAGCCCTAAACCCTAAAACAGGCTAATAATACACTGCATCCCACTCACCGAATTACCACATACCGACTTCCTCTGCTGGCACAAAATCTGCTGCAATCCCCGGCACCCGGTCGCCGCCACGGCGGGAGCGCAGCAATGCCAAATCCATCGTTATATCCTAGTATACTGTAGTACCCTAAACCCTAAACCCTAAACCCTAGTGGTTCAAAGTATGTTATAGTAACGTAGCTTATGTTTTATAGTATTTTCTTCACTGCGCAGCCGGCGAAGCGCAAGTCCGCAGCGGGCGAAGCGCCATGGCACAGGACGTCACCCAGAGACTCCAAGATCCCTTAATTAAGGGTTTAGGGTTTTGGGTTTTGGGTTTAGGGTTTAGGGATCCCTTAATTAAGGAATAGACCTTAAATCACATTAAGGATCCTACTATAATTTAAGGAAGAAACCTTAAATCACATTAAGGATCCTACTATAATTTAAGGAATATTCCTTAAGCAAGGAATATTGGAGTCCCTGGCAGTGTCGAGCTGAGAGATCTCAGAGCCTTGCCGCTACCCCTCGGCAGGCTCCAAGAGACCGGCTTTGGGAGGTTGAGGTTCGAGGCAGAAAGTCGGGGCCTAAATAGTTAGGGTTTAGGGTTTAGGGTATAGGGTTTAGGGTTTAGGGTTTAGGGTTTAGGGTTTAGAATAGGGTTTTGGGGTATATTGTACCACAAGTCTTATAAGGAACCCCCAAAATGGTATAGGTAATGATTAAGGCCCCTTTATTCATGAGCTGTGGGCCTTGGGCTTGCCTTGTGGGTCATGGGCCATGGGTCTAAAAACGGCAACGTGCCAGGGCATGGCACCCCAAGTCAGCGGTGGGTGCTGTGGTGGTTGTAGGTGCTTGGCGATGGTTTCCAATGTCATTCTGGTGTGAATGGCGAGCCAAACGGAGCGGCGGCGCCCCTTTAAACGCCTCAACCCTCAACCCTAAACCCTAAACCCTAAACCCTCAGCCCTAAACCCTAAACCCTAAACCCTAAACACTAAACCCTACCCACACTGCCCAACCTGAAGGCCTGTCGGGCCTCTGCCTGACCCTCCCAGCTGAAATCCGAGGATGCAGCCAGCAGATGCGGCCTGAACTGCTGGATTGCCTTGGTTTGGGGTTCAGGGTTTAGGGCTTAGGCTTTGGAAGATGCGGCAAATTCGGAATCGAATTTTTGTTTCACAATCCGGGTCTAGCTGGTTCAACCAATTCTGGCAAATCAAGTCAAGCTTGAATCAGCCCACTTCCAGCTCCCTGAGTTGCCCCTAAGTTGCCTCGAGCACCATGTAGTTCTTGTTGGCCACACGGTGCTCGTAGCCTGACATGTACTGGAGCAAGCTATCTCACCGAATCGCCGATCCCAACATGCGATGCTCCAGCAAAGGACACTCCATGGACCCGCAGTAAGATCACAGGCCCAAAAAACTGAAGAACGCTAGAACCTCGCAGTAGACTCACAGGACGGACGAAGCTCAAATCAAGTCCTGCCTAGGGAGGCACAGATGGCAGCAGCGTCGGCGCAGCAGGGCACAGCTGGCTGGTCATTCGGCGTCAGCACCAACACCTCCACTCTGAAAACAGCTCTCTAGAGTTTCGGAACCCACAGGGGACCCTACGCTTAATGAGATAAATCCTGCATGACCCATAATAAGCAATATACCATAATTCCCATAGTTTAGGGTCCTTAGGGTAATGCAGGATTTGTATCATCAACAGTATGGTTTGGGAACCCTAAAGGGGGCCCTAGCTTTGACAACCACCTACCTGGGCACCCATTCAACGACTTCGGTGACTGAGCCTGGCTTAGCATTCTCCGATTGTTCCTAAACCCTAAACCCTAAACCCTAAACCCTAAACCCTGAACCCGAAAGCCCTCAGTCTGGGGTGGGCTAGGGTTTAGGGTGAGGGGGCAAGGCGCTTTTCGATGCTTTTCCACGCCACATTGAAACCTCGGCTTTGCACCCTCAACCCTAAACCCTAAACCCTAAACCCTAAACCCTAAACCCTGCGCATTCTTCCAGCAAATGTCAACCTTTTGAAACCTCCGACGAGAGTTTCAGGGCTTAGGGTCGTAAAAGTTAAGGGATTTCAGGCTAAAGAACCCTATATTATGGGTTTAGGGTTTAGGGTTTAGGGTTTAGGGTTTAGGGTTTAGGGTTTAGGGTTTAGGGTTTATATTATAGTAGATCCCTTATGGAACCCTTTAAAGGAGCCCTTTAAGCATCCCTTTTACTAAGGCCCCTAGGGGCGAAGCGACCCAGCCTCGATGGGTTGCGACCTCCGCGCCTGAGGAACTTTGCTCTGGTGTGGGTTTAGGGTTTGGGCTTAGGGTTTAGGGTTTAGGGTTTAGGGTTTAGGATTCAGGGTTTAGGGTTTAGGGTTTAGGGGTTAGGGGTTAGGGGTTTAGGGCTTGGGCTTCTCGACTCCCGGTAAAGCTTTTGGCCTCTGGACTGTCTGACTAAACGTGCGTGCACAGATCTTCTCATAAGAGAGGTGAGTCTAAACGATGACTTATTAGGGTTTAGGGTTTAGGGTTTGGGGTTTGGGGTTTAGGGTGTAGGGTTTAGGGTATTACTCCGTCTTCGGATTCTGATCGATCGGACAACTGAAGGATGCCTGGCCCCAGCGAGCTATCATGGTTTAGGGTTTAGGGTCTATACCCCCAAAAAGTTGGATGTTACTGTGGGGTCAGAGTAGAAGGGGTTTAGGATTGGGGTTCTGAGGGGTGCTTCTTCAGTGCTACAGGGTTTGGCAGCCATGGAATTCAAGAGCTGAGAAGCCAAAAAATGCGGAGAACTCTAAGAAGAAATTCCTACGACATGCGCAAGCACCTTGGGGGGCTTCGGAAAAATGCGGAGAACTCTAAGAAGAAATTCCTACGACATGGGCAAGCACCTTGGGGGGCTTCGGGTTTGTCTCTCTCCATCTCAGCGACCCACAGGGGCCTTGATAGTTCGAGAAGGGCTTTGAGGCATCATGAGCTCCACTTTTCACAAGGGACCCCAACGGATTTAGGGTTTAGGGCTTAAGGCCCTCAGGCCAAGGAAGAATCTGAATCCTGGTGATTTTCCCGACCCCTAAGTGAAAAGTGGTCCCTTCACCCCCGGACCAGGCCGGCCCTCTCTCTCGGAGACTTGCCTGCACAAGCTGGTAGAGCGCGAAGTTCAGGGCATCTTTCTGGCCCAAGAGTGCCTCAGTCTCAGGGTAAGCTCCAACTCACGCTCTGGCAGCAAAGTTTAGGGCTGGGATTGACAGACCTTTGCCACACAAGCACTACTAGAAGATTAGAACAGGCTCCTGTCTCAGGCCGGCCAAACCATCAGCGCGATAAAGGAGGTCAGAAGTGCAGCCAGGATGGAGCTAAACGATTCTCCTTATCGCCTCTGCCCAGACCCGAGGATGCCACTGCGCCTGGTGAAAACTAGCCTAGACCGAGATCTTGCATGTCGAGCCGGCACAGGACAGCTGCGCTTGCTCCAAGATATCCAAAGCTCCCGCACTGGAGGAATCAACCCTAAACCCTAAACCCTAAACGGATTCCTCATTATAACTTATGGTATAATATACTGTTCTAATACCCAGGGACTCCAATATCCCTTAATTAAGGAATCTTCCTTAAATCATATTAAGGATCCTACTATAAGTTAAGGAATATTCCTTAATTAAGGGATATTGGAGTCTCTGGGTACGTGAGCTTGTCCGTCGAGTCACGATTCGCGGTGTCTCCTTGCCGAAAGGCTCGGCAGCGGCCACCATGGCCGAAAGTGCCAGCGCTGGGCCAGAGGCCAGACAACGTCTCCCCACGGACTCTTTAAAGAGGGTTTAGGGTTTAGGGTTTTGGGTTTAGGGTTTAGGGTTTAGGGTTTAGGGATTAGGACGAACATGCTGGGATTGTGGCTGGAAAGAAGCAAGTCAAGGTGGAATTTTGATGCAGATTTCCTCCTCTCTGAGCCGCAGAATCACACCTCACGGACCGAAGGAGAAAACCCAATTCAGGCATGTAGGGTTCAGGGGTTTCGGGCTTAGGAGGATTTTGGGTTGAGGGTTTCGGGCTCGGAGGTTTAGGAAGTTTAGGGTTTGGGGTTCGGGGTTTAGGTTTGGGTCTTCATGTGGCGGTGATATGTTTTGGAACCTGTAGGCTGCCGTTCGCGAACTTTGGAACTTTTCGGGGGAGGAAAGGGTTTGTGCCGTGTGCCGTCGCGCAAAAACGTGATCAGCAATGCACAGCATAATGTAGAAGCCTTACAAATTAGAATAGGGTTTTGGGGCCCATGATACTATGATTTCAATAAGGAACCCCCAGAATAGTATAGGTAATTATTTAGGCCCCTATATTACTCCCCCGCGGGAGCTCTGTGAATCTCTGCTCCCTCACCTCGCATGAGAACTTCAAAAAACGGGTTGGGGTTCAGGGCTCTAAGGTTTAGGGTCTAGGGTTTAGGGATTTAGGGTTTAGGGTTTAGGGTTTAGGGTTTAGGGCTCTAAGGCCGAAGCCACCCAGCGCAAGACTGAGGACTCGGAACCCTGGTATGCGGAAGCCCAGCTCTGCGATGCCGCCCCTTCCTGGTTAGTCTTTTGGCCGCCGGACCTCTTGAAGGTTCAATGCCAAACAAGCGGGTCTCCCAGCCCCCGGGCATCGAGGCTTCTGGTAGGGCTCGGGAATTTAGAGTTCAAGGCTTCGAACCCCTGAACCCTAAACCCTGAACCCCAAACCGGATGGAGTATCCACTCGAGGGGCCGTGGAGCTGGGAGTCCGAATTCCTGTGCGCGGTGACTCACCCACATGCGGTCTCGGAGGCACGCCTCCCGAAACAGAAACCCCAGACACGTGTGGTAGGAGACCTTAGGTATGACGTTACAGTAAGCCTCAAAGCAACCCTTATGGTGGCCTCTACAATGGCCTTTGTTCTGAAGCCTTACAGCAACCCTTACATAGCAACTCTTACAGTAAGCCTTATAGTCACCCTGAGAGTTGCCTTTATAATCACCTTGCCTTAGTGTCCAACTCACCTGCTCCGAGACTCTGACCACAAAGGTCTTGGCACAGGGGTCCTCCCCACACCTCTCGTGAGGACATCGGGGAACGTCGTCTCGCGAATTAGGGTTTGGGGCTTGGGGTTTAGACTTTCGGGGTTTAGGGTTTAGGGTTTAGGGTCCTATGGAAAAGATTGCCCATGGTCGCGGCTCGCTAACGTCTGAGAGCGGATTCATCTGCTCTCCTGGCCCAGACCAGCTAGGCTGCTGCACATTTCGGGTGCCGGAACCCTTCGCAACACAGAGCCAATCGGGCTTGGTGGTATTACGAAAAAATGCTACAAATGTACAAGAAGGAACCCTAAGCAACGATATTGTTCATTGTTGAGGCTTCTATAATCCGATATTGTTGGAGCCCGCGTCCTGAAACTCCCGTCTGCGACTTGTAAAGCTCTTTTCGACGAAGTATCTGAATCTGAGGCCTAGATTTAGACCCCAGGCCCTAAGCCCGCCTAGTCGCTGGTAAACCGCACACTCCAAGCCAAACCTACAACCTAAACCCGTTCCATCCTCTCTACCTACACCCTCTAAAGAACCCCGTACACCCGAAAGCCGAAACCAAACAATCTGGGACATTTTCAGGTGGGTAGTTACCCTTATAGGAGCGTTATAGAAGGTCTATATGCCTTATAGAAGCCTTATAGAAGCCCTATATACACTAAACTCCCCACCTGTAGTCTCCTTTAATACAAGCTCTGTAACCCGTCGTGTGCAGCTTTTGGCTCAGGGCGCGCTCCCCCGGCGGCTCTTCTGCCGGTCGCTGAAGAGCCGCTCACTCTCTTCCGCATCCGGGCCCTGCTTCAGGGGGTTTAGGGTTTAGGCAGTGCGGGGCTTCCTTCCTTAAGGATGTTTCTAAGGGTTTTGGGTTTAGGGTTTAGGGTTTAGGGTTTAGGGTTTAGGGTTTCCTTCCTTAAGGATGTTTCTAAGGGTTGCTCTCAACCAGATCAGGGTTACCATAAGGCCTTTACGGCTGCTGTAGCTATAAGGGTTTGGGATTCAGGGCCTGTGTTGGGGGCTTAGGGTAGGAGACTTCCAGAAGTTTAGGGTTTAGGATTTAAGTATTTTAGGGTTCATGTTGGGGTTCACGGCTTTTCTTTTACTTGTGGCTTTGGGGTTTATAACTCTTTTGGGGCTCTCTATGGGCAAGTAGAGACTTTGCTACGCCCCAGTTTCCACTCAAGTCGAGGTTGACCAGAACCCTAAGCGCTACACCCTAAACCCTGAACCCCAAACCCCAAACACTACACCAGAACCCTAAACCCTGGAGCCCTCCGATATCATCCGGGACGCTGGGGAGACTTGCTGACGTGCTGTTCGTGCGTGGCTGTGGGCTCCAATCTACGACGACATCTGACACGGAAAAAACAAATCTCCCCTTAGAGGCCCTGTATCGAAATACTTGTACTGGACCCCAAGACCCTCTTCTAAGGATGAAGGCCCCTAACTCCCAGAACTCTTATAGCCGCTGTTTTGGCAAACTTTTATCGAAGCCTCAAAAAAAAAACATATTCTACTCAGTAAGGCCTCATCCCTAAACCCTAAACCCTAAACCCTAAACCCTAAACCCTTAACCCCTAAACCCCAACCCCTCAGCCCGAAACCCGAACATAAAAGGGTCTCTTTAGGCCACCAGGAAAATTTCGCCACGCCTCGGCCGAGAAGACCCAGGCCACCAGCTCGTTGAAGCTGACGCGGCCGTCGCCTGGGGCCGACCCAAAAAAGAAACCTCCCCAGAGACTCCAATATTCCTTGATTGAGGAATACTCCTAAAGTTTTTTGTAGGGTCCTTAATATGACTTAAGGTGTATTCCTTAATTAAGGGCTATTAGAGTCTCTGGGTCTAAGGATTCTTTCAAGGGTTCCTTCAAGGGATCTTGTAGCGGCTCCTTTAAACGCTCCACTTAAAGGAGCCCCGAAAGGGTCTTCGGGCTTGGGGTCCGCGGCTTGGGGGTTAGTGTGATGTCTTGGCCTCGGGTTCGTGAAAATTGGCACAATGAGGTTGCTATACTAACAGTTAGACTAGGGTTCTAGGGCGTAATATACAATAATATAACCATCATGAGGAACCTGAAGGAACAATATTTGCAGTATCCTCCTCACTGGAAAAGGAAGCATGCTGCCGATCTCAAAAAGCACGACCGCGTCGCCAGTGCTCGGATCTCCAAGACCACTCTAAACCCTTATCCCAACCCTAAACGAGCCAAAGTCTACAGCATGGGTTTAGAGCTGAGGGTTTAGAGTTTAGGATTTAGGGCATAAGCCCCACAAAGCCCAAAACCCGGGACCCAGGGCTCCGGGCCGTTCTTGTCCAGCTGCTTGAAGATCTCCTCCACCTCGCCCTCGCTGGTTTTCGGCCTCCCAAGGAGCTTCAGAAAACGATGGGTTTCTAGGGCTCAGGGCTTGTATGCTTTATTTGGGGTTAGGACCTAAAGTTTGGAGGATAGGCCTTATAGTGACGATCCTGCTACTCAAGGTCTGTATTCGGCGGCTCGGACGAACAGTGTAGTTAAGGGTTAGAGCCTTCAGGGCTTCGGGCTTCTGAAGCTTTTCAGGCGGATGCTGACTTGATTCGGTGTTGAAAACGAGGCTAAGGGCCTGGAGACTTTAGGGGTTTAGGCTTGAGGGTTTAGGGTTTAGGGCTTCAAACATTTAGGGTTGAGTAAAGTCTTGCAAGCAGAAACGCGGCAACGGTTTTTGTGGTTAGGCCCAGGGCTTTAGTTCTAAACGGGCCTTAACGCGTTTGCCGTTTTGGGCTTGTCGGGTCTACAGAGCCCTGAAGAAGGGTTTTAAGTTTTTTGACTCGTTAGCCCGGCCATGTAAACAATTCATAGTACCCCTTGTAAAACCCCTTGTAGTAGCCCTGAAAGTGACCTTTTTCGCAAACTCTGTAGTGACCCTTTTTGCAAACTCTGTAACGATTAAAGAAGCCCTTCTAGAGATCCCGTAAGAGCCCCAACCCCTTTGCGGCGGAGGGTTTTTATTTTCGAAACTGCGGCCAACCGTTTTTGTTCGGAGGTGCGTTCGGCTAAGGGTTTGGTCCAAGTCAAGCTATTGGTGAACTCCAATTTGAATTCCAGTTTGTGGGGCTTGGTCTTCCTCAAGCTATTGGGGAATTGGAATTCGTGGGGCTTGGTCTTCCCTCAAGCTATTGGTGCATTCCAATTTGTGGGGCTTGGTCTTCTTTCAGCTATTGGGGAATTTGAATTTGTGGGGCTTGGCGTTCTCTCAAGCTATTCGTGAACTCAATTTGCGGGGCTTGGTCTTCTCTGAAGCTGTTGGGGACTTCGAATTCGTGGGGTTTGGTGTTCTCTTAAGCTATTTGTGAATTCCAACTTGTGGGGCTTGGTCTTCTCTCACGCTCTTGGGGAATTCGAATTCGCGGGGCTGTTCGTGGATTTTAATTTGTGGGGCTTGCTCTTCTGTCAAGCTATTAGGGAGTTCGAATTCGTGGGGCTTGGTCTTCTTTCAAGCTATGCGTGAGTTCCAATTTGTGGGGCTTGGTTTTCTTCCAGCTATCGGGGAATTCGAACTCGTGGGGGCTTGGTGTTCTTTCAAGCTATTTGTGAATTCCAGTTTGTGGGGCCTGGTCCCCCTCGAAAGTATAGGTGAATTCCAACTAACATCAAAAAATATCATATAGTAGAATATAATATAATATAATGTCATGTCATATCATACCATATAATACAATCTAATATAGAAGAACATAGTATGGTATAGAATATAACAGAATATACTAGAATAAAATAGAATAGCAAAGAATAGAATACAACAGAATAGAACAGAATAGAAATAGAATACAATAGAAGAGAAAAGAAAAAATAGAACAGAACAGAATAGATTTTTTGTTATCTAGTAATATATTATATAAACGTATATCATATTATATTGTATGATATATTATATTAGATTATATCGTATTATAGTATATGATATATTATAATAATATATATTCTATAAAAGGAAAAACATATAAAATGTATCGTGTAGTACAAAACGAAATACGAATATTATACAGATAAAAAACCAAAATAAAGTATAATATTGTACAACATAATATATTTTGGAATAACATATTATAACATATTATTATAAACTCTAACCCATTGCGTCTAGGGTTGTTAACGATTATATCTTCGGCAGCAGGGGAATGCCAAGCTCGCAAGTCCCTACACAGCAACTTGAACGTGCAGGCCAGTAGGGTCGCCCACGTATGTGCACAAAGCTTGGCGCCATAGCGACCGTCCGATCTGAAACAGCTGCAGGCGACGCTGTCTGCGGTCAAACGAGGAAGCGTCAAGCATCGAGGGCGTCGCTCGCAAAGTTTAGGAGGTGTAAGTAAGACAACATTGTCTAATGTATATGAAGTTTACGAAAGACACCTCGTACATAAAATGTTCATCTATATTGTTATCTAAGACTATGTACACATGGTGTCTACAGTGTATATAAGCTGTAGATCATTAAGATATAGAACATATAATCTCGCCCATATATATGCGCACACATACATATAGAACTGAACAGTCATTTACATTGTATATTACACAAGTAAAACATATAAATATACGTACATACTAGTGCCCTTATGTTCAAACCGCTTCCAGTGGAAACTTGCTTGGAGTGACGTAAGTCGAGCAGCTAACATGTTGAAGTAGCCACTGCATGGCAGGGTTAGCGGACGTGACGCGGTGAGAATAGACCTTAGTGCGGACGTTGACACTGGTTGCACGAAACACGCAGCAGACAGGGACGAGTGCTAGATGTACTACGGATGTTGAAGTACATCAGGATTCTTTACAGAAATGCAAGCTGGAGTTTACAGACGAGTCGGCGTCAAAATTACTTGTTCATGCTGCTTAAGTTTTTGAATTGGCGCGTCCGTTATCGTTTTCCGAGGAATTCGCCCATCTCATATGTTTCCAGGCGGACGGTGGGCTTCGGGATAGTCTATCGGTGCACGTGGGGCCAGAAAGTCCGGTCAGCAGATGCATGCACGTAGACAAGAAACCAAGAAATAAGGACAGAAGGAGACAAACAACGAAATAATAGGTAAACTACAAACAAGCAAACAATGTCCGCATACGCATATGCATGCGTGAGTGCAAGCACATGCACAAAATTAAGGACATGTGTGAGTGCACACTGCAAACGCCGATGGCTTTGCTACGGAACGTGGGTTTGGGGGTGGGGGGAACGTGAGCTTGCCTCGCCCATGACGGACTTGCAAGCCGAGCAGCCCTATCTTTCTTCCTCGCGTACTGTGCGCTTCCAATTCGCTTGGCGGTCTGGCCGATCACTCCTCCTGGCGCATGCGTAGAATGCTGAGTGTATATGCCAGTATCTGCACAGACAGATAAACACAGACACGGATGGAGACAACGGGCAGAAAAGAGGACATGATCACGCGAGTGCATGCGGTCAAACATGCGGCAAGTCCTGAAAGTGAGCGGGGAATGCAGCTTTCACTGCGGACCAAGCGTGGGAAATTGATGCTTCATCAGTGCCATGCAGGCTGAGCGCAGCGTGGCTCCCACGCACTGTGCGCCCAGCACGCACGGCCACCCATGCCCGCACGCTCGACACACACATTTGCCGGAGTGAAAGCAGGTGTCCTCGACTCAACCGGGCCCAGCCTTGTTCTGCTCATTTCGGTAAACGTGAACCTGTGGAGGCATAGCACGGCCGCCGGTGATGGCCTCCGGGACAGAAGCAGGAAGGGCACAAGCACACCAAGGAACACACAAGCACGCGAACTGCACAACCGGGCAGCCCCGCCTCGACCTTGTCGAAGTCCGCGCGGTACTCTGTCGGGCCTCTGCTGCCCGACGCAGCTTCAGAATCCCGATTTTCCACTGTCGCGCGAGGAATCCGGCTTGAGGCACGGTCAGAGCGTTGGCATTAGGCTGAACCTTCGCTTATGTGGGGTGGAGAAGGTAATCGCTGGCTGTCGTGGGCACGACTCCGCTCTGCTGATTGTGCTTTGCGCACAGGCTGGCCTGCCGAAGCGCCTCGAGTGAACCCTTGCAGAAGCATTGGCTGGTCTACCTTCACTGAGGCCACCACCTCTAGGGACTGGTCGTTTGGTGTGCGGAGAGTTTGCGCAACACGCGCATGCTCACAAGTGGCACCAAGAGCAAACGGAAGGCAGGGACACAAGTGAGGAGGCATAGCCCACAGGGCGGAAGCTGCCGCGCCGGAGATCGCAACAACAACATCGTACCGGTAACGTTTCGATTGCTGGAAATCGAACTCATTTTATGAGCTACTTTGACTTGTGCTGAAGGTTGAAAACATACAACCTATAAACCCAAAAGTCACATTTTAACGCCTCAACCCCTACAGCATAATACAAGGAGCCTAAGGCTTTGAGGCTCAGTTCGGTATGCCCTAAACCCTAAATCTAAAAACTGTATTAAACAGCTACGCCCTACTATTTCCAAAGGACCAGGGGACCAGGGGGCCAGGGGCCAGGGACCAAGGGACCGAGGACCAAGGGACCAGGGGACCAGGCGACCAGAAGACCAGGGCTTGGCCACGCCTTCCAAGCAAGGGTTGGCCGCACATTCGAAAGGAAAAAAAAAAAACGGCCCCCCTTTTCTAAACCCTGAACCTCGCCGCAGGTCGGCTCTACACCCTATCGTTACGGGGCCCATCATAAACATAAACAAAAGCAAAATTCAAGGGACAATAAAGGGATAGCATGTGTTCCACCGTTTTGACAAGGTTTAGGGCTTTGGGGTTTTGCAATCGTAGCATAAGGTCAGGAAAAACTCAGAGCTGGACGCCGAGTTTGAGGGGCTTTGGCTTGAGGAGGCTTGTTGATTTGTTGGTTTTAGGCCTACGGTTCAAACCCTAAGCCGTAGCTGTTGGGACTTGGCTCCGTAGGAGACCGGGGCCTTCCTTGCCGCACCAGGCGACGAACCTCGGCCTTGTCCAAGGTGCCGTCAGAGTTCAGGTCGAACCTGGTTTGGGTTTTTTTTAACGACCCTTTTTGTCTCTTGCGATCCAAAGCCCGAGGTGGGCAGGCTCCAGCTCCCACTATTTAGTTCATCCTTGCATCTCAGTACTCGAACGGCCAGCCAGGTTTAGGATTTAGGGTTTAGAGTTTAGGGTTCAGGGTTTCGGGTTTAGGGTTTAGAGGTTTCGAGACTAACACTTGGGTTTTGTTGAAGGCTCTTTTCCTCCCCGTTTCAAACAGAAGATCAAGATTTCGGGCTTGGGGGTTAAGGTTTTTAAAAATCTGCGTTTTAAGATTAGAGTCTAGAGTTTAAGATTTAGGGTTAGTGTTTAGGGCTGAAGACTTCGCTGGCTTACAAGGGACTCCGGACCATGCAGTGATTACCAGAGGGGTG